AGAGCTGGAATTAGAGCTAGACAAGACATCTATCTTATACTTTCGTGATATGCTTGTCAAATCAATTGGCTGCCGCTCGTTATCGCTTGTCGCAGTTTTCTGAGACTTTGAGATCTCATTTCCGTCTCTGCGGTTTTCAACCACTGCGAACGTCATCAATTTACAAGCTTCCTTGTTTCTCACATCTCTTGTCGAATTATCCTTTCCAGCAATATCAAAGGAAATTTGCTTGTTACAAGACGCGACTTCCCGCGAGGATGACTCGCTATTTTTTAGCAAAGCACAGTCTCGTGGAGATTCGGCTGAGCAATTACTATCCGCAGAGTTCTTTTTCTTAACCATATCTTGTTGAGGATCAATTTTCGCTTCACGTAAAGATCCAGTGTTTTCCTTCGCCGACAAATGTATGAGACCAATGTCTCCTTTCGTCACATCTTCATCAATAAACTTCGATTTGGCAGGGCTTGCATCCGAAAAAACTCGCTCGTTTTTTGTCTCCGAAACTTCTGCAAATGTGAACAATACTCTTTTGCCTGCCGTACTATCTTGCGTTTTTCCGTTTGTAATTTCTTTTACAGCTTCTTCAGGGATATTTGAACGCGCTTCGATCACCTGATCGGCTTGCGTGACAATTTCATTTATATATTGATTTTTATCAATCTGCACAGCATCCTTCGATTTATCGTCTTCAAGCTTTTCGATAATTATATCATCTTTATTTTTGGATACCGAGATTCCGGTAACTAAATCGACAGTTTCCATTTCGCTTCCCCCTTTCGATCTTGCAGATCGAATCTTCGTAGACAAATGCTCGGAATTCTCCTCGGGATTTTCATTGTCGTCGCTACGGATATCGGAGATCTGTTTTAACGACTCGGCTTCCGAACACGAGTTTCCAATGCTGTTATTGTTCTTGTTATTCTTGCTGTTATTCTTCGAATTTTTACCAGTCTCGAAATGAACTGCGGAATGAACACTTTCTCTCGATTCCGGAATTGCGGGAGAGAAATATTTATTAGGATTTTTTAAATCGTTAGATTTCCCAGTAACTTGTCCAGTATCATTCGTATTATTTTCTGTTCGCAAAATTGTCTCCTCATTCGCGTTCGACGTAGCGTTCGTCCGAATCGAGGAACCAGTGACGTTCCGAGGAAATGTCTCCTCCTTATTCTCATTGATGTCTTTGTCCGTTTGATTTTTAACATCAATCGAAACAGTCCTCATCACATCCGCGTTTTCCGTCCGACCTATGTCCTTCTTGCTATTCGCAAAATGTTGCGTAGACTCGCAACGAGCCGTAGAGCGAACGCTCTCTCTCGTCTCGCGACATTCAGATAAGTCGGAGGAGTGCTCGCCGAGATCTTTAAGTTCATAAGATTTTTTGGTAAAATTTTGCTCGACTTCGCTCCCGTCAATTTTTACTGGCGTCTGTTGCACGCTTTGTTCTCGCGACTCGTTGGCTGCATTCGGCGGAGCGTTGCTACGAGTCAAGGAATCGGAAACGTTTTGAAAGAATTTCCTGTCGTTCGCGTTTCCTTGATCGGACTGACTTTTCACGTTAATCAGGATATTTCTCAGAATGTCCAAGGTTTCCGACTGACGCGCGTCGCGGATCGATTCAGCCTCGCGCAAATGATCCAGAAGCTTCTGAATTGCTGCAGGTGTTACCGCCGACTCCTTCAAGGCGCTCACAACCTTTCCTTCGATGCTCTGTTTTTCATCCTGCAGGATGTAGGCAAGAAACCGGTCTGCCGCTTGGGACGTGTCCTTCCGGAAAAACCGCGCGAAAATTCTGTCATCGGTGTATTCCTTTCCAGAACGACGGATCTTGCGCTCCGAGAATTTCCTCGCAGACGTGACTTCGTCACGATCATTCCGGGCGACTTCCTTCTTCTGATGACGACACGGAGCCTCCGTGTGTGTGCTGGATAACGTTGGTACCAGGTTGGAAAATGTCGTGACATCCGATTTGTCCATCGACGATTCCGATAAGTACGCTTTGGTCGGCGACCGTTGAGTTCTATCGCTGTCATTGGCATCCGATACAGGAAACACGCTAGATTCGACGGAATTCTTCGAGTAATTACTGCGAGAACCGTCCTCCTTCGTGAAAGCCGACGATTTCGTCTCCGCCGCGTTTGCTGCCTGCAGATCGTCGGTTCGATGTACTTTTGAGATGATCAGATCCTCGTTTCTTAATTCAGTCTCCAAAAGTGATGATCGAGCTGCCTTGTTCAACGCCTCGTTCAACGGATACTCGCCATCTTTATCGTTTAGCGAGTTCCGACAAAATTTCACCGTGTCTTGAGACACTAGCTCGCCTTCATCCAGTTTGTATATCGCGAATTTGGAATCTGATAGTAATTCCGAAAGATTTCTGGTCACTCGAGTGACATGCTCGATTTTCTTGTCGTTGGAACGCAGGAGTGAATCCAAGTCGTTAAGACACGGTCGATACAAATCGATATCATCCAAATTGTTCTCCGCAAAAATTGTTTCTCGGAAAACGTCCGTATAGTCTGGAGCGAAAGATCGACGTTGTATGTCTTTATTAGTGACGTACAGCCCATCTTGTCCGTCATGACTATTGAATGTGTGCGAAAAATGTCTATCAATCGTCCGAGATCTCGAACTTTCTGCCTGTCGACAACGCGAAGCGTTTATATTTTCGCGCTGTCGAGGAAAACCCGCTGTCCTTGAAATGTCGTCGCCAGGCGACGGCGTTGATCGATCGCTTCGGTTTTCCTCCACCTGGATCTTATCTACAATGTTCTCGACGTTTCGCTGATGGTCAACACTTCTCTTACAGAATATTCCGTCATCCTCCGCGTAACGGATTTGCGTATCACCGCCGGCGGTGGATAAAAAAAGAATTCCCTCGTGGTTCTCATTTCTCGTTTTGTGCAATTTTTCATTCCTATCAATCTGTGGAGTTTCAATCACTGCGAAATTAGTCGCTCCTTGACTCGTCGTGTTTCTTAAACGTTCAGGTGTCCTTTCGACATCCTGCGAGTCGGGATCCTTCTTCTCTTGTCTAAAATTTCGGACTTTCGGGGATTGAATTCGTTCGACGTCTCGTCCAGAATTCTTGGCATCTTTAAACTCCTTTTCCAACTTGCTTACAGGAATTACTGGTATTGTTTCGGTCGCAGCTTCGGTAATCGGTTTCTCAATCGATTTCTCTCGTTGTAACGTGTCCAATCTCACACGCCGTGTTCTCGGCCTCTTTGATACTTCCGGATTGTTCATTCTATTATCCGCATTCTGCACAGTTAAAAAAATTTGTGTTAAATTTAACACATTTCACAAGTCTCAAATGGTCCACTCAAACTTTACTGTTAATTTAACACAAGCAGGACTGGGCGTGTACTTCAAATACTTTCATTTTAAACACATATTTGTAATATAATTGTATTATATATATTTGATATTTTAAATTAAAAAATTGAAAGTATTTTTATTTTGTAATAAAATTTTTATTTCAAATAATAAAATTCATTGCCAATTTCAGTATTTGAAATACAAAATACTTTTAATCGTTTGATTTTTGAAATATTGAAATACAATTATATTAAAATACTATATTTAAGATAAAAGTGTTTGATTTTTCGAGACTGGTCAAAAGTATTTGACTGAACATAAGATGAATATGTTAAAAAGTAATTTATAAGCAATTAAATATATTTCTTTATTAAAATTAATATTCTGATATGTTAAATTAACATGTTTCAATAAATTTATGTTAAAAATTCAACAAAACAGTTTAACAAGGATTTCAGTGGATCATTTCTAATACTAAATGCAAAATGTTTTTACTGATTGAATAACATCATGGGATAGAATATAAGTAGCCGTGTTCATGCGATTTTGCGCCGGATACGGCTCTGGCGAAATGTGCACGTCCTCCAGATCCTGTTTGACCAATTCCCGGTCAACAATGTGCACCGATGGTCCTATTTGGATTTCACACTCGTTTCCTCGTGCTGACAACATTCGCCGGCGAGCACGATCGTCGTCGCGTGCTGTGGTCTCGACGTTCACGTTATTGATCGTGTCCTTCGACAGCACTCGGGTAGGCGATGCACGTCCACCAGACCGATTGTCACTTTTGTATCCAAGAGATGACCAGTCGGCATGTCGTCGTCGCGACATCCGAAATTTTGGCGCCGACAAATCAACCCCGCGAACGGTGACACGAGGAAAACCACGTTTCTCCGAACGTGCGCTCGTCTTGTCGTTCGTTTCCGATAATTTTGAAGAGCAAGCATCCTGAAACTTGGAGGCCACCAGCTCGCGAATGTACAGCCGCTCTTCCATCTCATCATCCAACGGGGGCTCGTCCAAATACCTAAGTGCACATAATATAAATTACATAAATGATATACAATATTTTGTAGTAAATTACATAAACACTAAATGACATAAATTATCAATTAAAATAAAAAATTAATTTTTAAGTATTGTAAATCATAATGGTTTCATTCTGCAATATTAATCGATCGGCAAATTTAAACGAAATACGATTTGTGGACAATATATACGTGTATGTATTTATGTATACGAAAAGAATGATTTTATTGAAGTATCTAAAAATTTTAAT